ATGCTTATGATTCTATGTATCGTGATCCTACACTCACCGTTGACAAGATCTTGGATGTTTTTTGATATTTTCCGGTGATGAAGTTGCTTACAAGTCACCTATGTCGTTGGTGAACCGCGTAGGTAAGTCTCGGATGGCTTTAACTATGTTGGTTAGTTATTCGACATCACATGCCTATCGTACATGTGTACTAAGTCGTTGAAGGGGTCAAGTGATTAAGGTTGATTAGCCAAGACATAACTAATTCTAGCTAGTTATGACTAAACTAGTTAGTTATAACTAAGTTTATCTAGTCATGACTAAGTTTAGCTACAATGTGTATAGTTGGCGGAATAATAAGCGGAGTTCTAGAAGAGTGGAGTGAGCACTTCTAATTTGTCTTTTACAAAGTTCTAGATTTGAAGCTATTAGATATTTGATTATAAATTTGGATTTGATTGGTTTGACTAAATGTATGAAAGATGTTTGGATTTGATTGGTTTGACTAAATGTATGAAAGATGATTGGCTAGACTAAGTCTAATGTTGACTTAGTGGCTAGTAAGCTTCTAGAAGGTTTAGGTAGGTCAATGGCATGTCGCCACATCAACCTTGGGTCTGGAAACTTCTAGAAGGTTTAGGTAGGTCAATGACATGTTGCCACGTATAGTGGGTTAACCAAACTTACATAGGTAAAAGTGAGTTAGGAGAAATTACCACATGTTAATATGGTAACTTCTCAAGTAGTATAAATAGAAAGGTAGAGTAATAAATCCACAAGCAAGTTTGGAGAGTCATGTGTGAGGACTTGTTTCCTGAATGAAGGAGTGAGGTTTTTCACTATATTGGAGTATCGATGTATGTTTGAATTTGTGTGAATTGAGTGATGTATGGAAAGTTTGTGTGAGATGGTGTTTGGGATACGAGTATGAGTGAGAATCGTAGTCTTCTAGAGCCATGATGAGCTACCACAAAGCCATTTGAAGTAAACATTAGTGAGAGTCAGCCCGGAGTTTGCAGACCGCTATGTAGTTGGACTTTCATCACACACACTATGACGACGCGTTCAGAGAAGAGATGAATGTCCGTAGCAACAATGTTTTGATCGGCGTCAGAGAGATTGAAAGAGAAAACATCTCGGATGAGAACTTCTTGGTGATTGCAAAAGGTTTCGCATGGGAGGGCGTCTCTCTGGGTGGGGCGGAATGGGTCAACGGGCCCTCAGTCGATACGTAACGTTTCCAGTGCAGTGTTCAGGAATTTCATGCACGGGTCAAGTATAGTGTCCAGTCGGATCATAGTCTCACGCAACCCTGTGTTCAACGCTGTCCTATAACTAATCTGTGAGCTCTTCATCGTGACAACCTTAATTGACTAGTTCTTAATTGACTAGTTCTCTTTGTGGGAGGAAAATTTGAACGAAAAAAAACCCCTCAATCAACTCGCCTCGCAATGCCGCACACGAATCTAAATCTATCAGCAGGAGTGTGCACCAAGAACATGCTCTAACGAGCGTGCCGCCTCAACGGCAAACGAGTGCCTCCGGCATTCATTGCCAGTCTCCCAAGCAATCACTCTCCATCCAGAGAGAGATCGAACAACAAGTTTTGAAACTTGAACTACTAGGACTAGACCATCATTTTAATTAGAAAAACTAACCCGCGGAGAAGAAAGTTTTCCAAGGTCTTGGATCTGGTCGGCGCGCTAGTGATGCTCGCTTACCTCGTCCAATTGTTAGTCGGAATTGAAGCAATCTGCATGTTACAATCAGAATAGCAAATCATATATTATTTTGCTCATTTCATTGTTTGTAATGATTGAGTATTATCGTGGTTCCTTTTAACATTTGATTCATATTTTGAAAATTCAAAAAATGTAATGCATATTTTATACTAAATCTATAAGATTTCATATATCTATTGGTAACTTACACTCAAATCATCATATTTGTAATTCAAATCTTTTGCATACATTTGCAGTATGAAAAAGTTAGAAAAATCTACAAAATCAAAAATAAACATGTGAAATGTTTAAAATATAGGTGCAATATACTTTATCAATAATAAACCTATATTTATAAAATAATCAAGCAAAATGTATGATATCATGTGATATATCACATGAGTACATACACTTTGACTAATTATTTAAAAATTTATCATTCTATAATATAATTTCTTGATGATAATACAAAAATCAAAAAATGTTAATGTACTCTAAACTTGATCAAAAATATTTAAATAAACCTCACATATGTTGATTTGATTAAAATTGTCAAAAAAATATTTTTTCTACAATAAGCAATAACAAACTATCATGTTTTTCAATCTAGTGCATTATCAAATTTCAAATCATGAGCAAATTTTTTGTTAAAAAAATTAAAAATCAATAATATTTCATCAATTGATTTAAGATTTTGAAAATTGATGCATTCAAAAAAATATCAATATTATTTTCAACTTTTGATTGAAATAAAATTTAAAGTTAACAGTTTTTAAAAATTTCTAATATTTAAGATATTCAAATTATCAGAAGAAAAAAGTATTTTACAATTGCAATATAAATTTTTCTTTTCAATTATTAAATTTTTAGCACAATCAGATTTATATTATTTTAATCAGATTGTACATGTGTTGCATATGTAGAGTGCACTGACTCTTGCTTTAAAATACAAAACCTAAGATGATTGACGCTTCCTATTTATACGTTTTATTCCAGATGATGTAATGTAATAAAATTAACTAGCATTCAACACTTGATTATTTTATCATTTTCAATTTTTATCTTACAACTGATAAAATAACATAAATCAAATTATTGATAGTTTTTTACAAAATCAGATTTATAAAAAATTAATCAGTAATCTGATGTATGATCTAATATATCGTCAAATATTTTTCATTTTTAATAGGTAAAAATCAAGAGCAAAAAATCTCAATTCTAGTTGGATACAAGAAGCACATAATTTAAAAGTCATTATGATCTTTTGAACTAATTTTAAAATTATTTTTATAAACATGTAGATTTGAATAATTAGATTAAATTAAATACTATCATTATGATATTATTTATATTTCAAAGATTTTAAAAATATTTTACTATTAACTTATTATTATTTTGAAATATATTATGTCATTGGATCAATATATGTTTGAAACAAAAGTTCAAAAAACAATTTATACACTTTATGAACAAGAATGGTGAAATTTTAATATGCCGATACTCTTGTGGATGAAATTATTGAGTGTTAGAATATGTATGCATGAAATTTTTAGTTTTAATTATTTCAATATAAATTAACATAATGAAAAAGAGAGAATACTGAAAATAAGTTTTTTTTCATAAAATCCAAAAATTTTGATTTGGATAATGATATTCTCGAACAGTTTATATTTAAGTTTATTATTAGAATTTAATTAAGCAAAACAACAACAGGTGTGATCAAATATCTTCATGTCCTTGGGTTTTTTTAGTGTTAAGAAATCAATCAATTTTAATCTAGAAGATGTTTGATTCTATTACTTTTCTCACTTATGATACATGATGATCTCAATCTGTCAAAATTTTCATAAATAATAAAATCGATTTTCCAATTAAATTTCATATGTATCCAAATTCAAATTTGATGTTGATGATTAAATATAATAATATATGTGACATTATATATAATTGTGTAAATTCGTCATCAAAAATTATAGATAAATTAAGTTTACTACAATTGATGATGAAATTCATAAAAATAACTGCATCAACATTTGATAGTCATACAATTGCATGATGATGACGTGTAAGACTTTATTTTATAAAAAATGTACTACTAATCGCTGACTATATTATCTGAATTGATAATGTCAATATTCTGAACATGTTTAAATCGCAAATCAAACAAGATGATAATCTTGTTTGATTTGCGATTATCATCGTAATACATTTGATAAGTATGTTCATGTGCACAAATGCATTAAGGAGCTACATGTTGATTTATAATCTTGTTATTCTTGCTGGTTCTCGAAGAATTTATTAATACATAATAAGAATATAATTTAATAAGATTTAATTCAATCGTGATTGTTACTTCTATGATTTGAATAACAAACAATGACTACATTTGATAAGTATGTTCATGTGCACAAATGCATTAAGGAACTACATGTTGATTTATAATATTGTTATTCTTGCTGGTCCTCGAAGAATTTATTAATACATAGTAAAAATATAATTTAATAAGATTTAGTTCAATCATGATTGGTACTTCCATGATTTGAATAACAAACAATGACTACACATGACACATTTTGTAATACATGGCCGTGTGATCTTAACCGTCCAGAATCAGGTGGTAACATGGAAATAAACCCCGTTTATAAAACGAATTATGATGAATTCATATCCATATATAAAGCTTGATAGATATATATTTATCATGCTTAGATGTCACTGTGATATATGTATGATACACTACAGATTTACGTGACAAGCATCAAGACATGTAAAGACATCCATTATAATATAAATGCTATCGTGCAGATCCATCGTATTTTTCTAGATTAACAAATCTTTTGAGATATCTACCAGCTGGGACTTAAAATTTTACATGAAAGAGCTCAATATTACAATCTCAAAGTAACCTCAATGCTCAACTGTTATAGGTGACCTTCATATAATGTTGGTTCATTTACATCAGAAATGGAACCCAAACCTTCTTCTAACTTACGGCGCAGTCAGTTTTCAAGGTAAGTAAGAATCAAGCGGGTAGTCCTGTCAAGAGGCTTCTCCCGAAATCGCGTGCAAAATCTTCATACATCCTGCATATCCACTATTTGGCTACAGGTAAAATTGAAGATATTTGGCTAATATCGATGGTTATAGAACAACCAGTTACCCAAGATTCATTTGTTAATCACTTGACAGGAACAGAAACAAGTAAGAAACCGTCTGAACTTGAAAACAAAAACAACTAATGAGAAACTTAGTACTTTATCCAACAAGCACAAAACCGTTTACTTCTTTTGGTTCATCTCGCCATGTGGATTTTAATAGATTCAAACGAAATTCACATCAAATTGATACAGCCCAGCTAAACCTTCGACAAGATGCGTAGATCCTAACTTCACACAAAACTCTGCCTGTTGCACACAAACCTGTGAAAGGTATGCCATAATATGTGGATCAAGTGTATGTAATCTCTTGATCTAGTACAGAGAGTTCAGCAGATCTTCTATGGTCATGAGTAGTGCACAGAGTTTAAAGAAAATACATAAGTGTGCACTCTCAGAGAAACATTGTTGTGTAAGATGGAGACTGAGGACTGACCTTAAAAGCCTCGGACAAGCCCTTTTCACCACTTTTCAATCCAGACAATCCTGAGTTGTACAGAGCATCTGAGAAAGATGAATCAGAAGACTGAGATTTGTGATATGACTAATCTAACTATACTACACCTATACCGTTTCACGACTTGTCACCGACAAAAAAAGTGGATAACAATGATTGCTGTCGTAATTGGGCCATCCTTTTCGATCCCCTTTCAACAAATGTTGGTGGACAGACCAAAGATGCTCGTCATACTGCTCCTTGATTTCAACGTTAAGTGCAAGACTTTCTGCTGCTTCTACAAACATATCCAGCGTGTTTCCCCGTCGTGGGTTGAAGAGGATAGCTTGACTATCTTTCGAGGTTCCTAGCAGGCTTTTGATAGTGTATGCCAAGTCGAAATGGAAGTCCTTGAAGAATGTACTGCAAACCCCAGACATTTGTTTCATTTTAGAATATTCTCACCCTTTAACAAACTTCCAAGGTGAGTGATTAGGAAGCTGTCATCATAATTGCTTACTGTAACTTGCAAATGGTAATAGCCATGTCCTACTCCAACATCCACAACATTTCCGTCGTTTGGATAACAGCTGTTGAAAACTGGAACAACCAAAATTGTGGGAATTTTGTACTTACCAATCTGCAGCAACCACCAAGTCAAAGGTTCGGCCAGAAAGGGGAACTTGGTCGCGACTCCAGTAAAGAGTGGAGGAGCTTACTGCGGTATTCCCAAAGGCCGATCGATTTGTCTGGACGTTCTGCTCAATATCTATCGAAGCAAAGCAGTGTAGTGAATTAAGAATCACGTTCGTTTGACAGTAAACTCATCCCGGCTAAGAGTTACAGCTCGCGAGTATGAGGCATATAAACAAATGAAATTCAGAACTTGTCATCCTCTAAGGTGAGGAGAGGATACAGTCAACTACTTCAGGGTTTCCATCGGTTATGACAACTTCAGCCGCATCTGTGCAAGCAGCTATAGCAAGTCCTCCCAGTCCATAGCCGGCTCCAAGTTCAATAACAGTCTTCTGCCTACAGTTCAAAATTGAAGTCACGTTAGATCCCCGAGCTGATACGAGCTACAAAGCCAGTTCCTGATCCATTACAAATTAACTATTCATGATAGAGGATAACATTTGTGTACTGCTGAAAAAGAATTCAGCAGTCATTCAGGCATTCATTATTTTAAAACTTAAATCCTAGTAACACCTGAAGATTTCTGGATGACCAGCACAAAAGTAAGTCAAGACCTCCTCCGCTGGCCACAAGCCTACAAGAAAGACCGATAGTAAGACATAGTAAGACATAAGATATATCGAAAGACATGAATTGCCTATCTTTTGTAGAACAAAATAAGAACACAAATTACCACTGTCTGATAACAACAGCTGCATCCTAATTGCAATAAAACTCAGCTCTTCAGAGGTATTGGTAGAATTACGGACTGAAAGAAGAAAACCTTACAGATAATGCCTGTATTGTCTATAGCGTTTTTCTGACACCTGGCAAAGTCCTGCAGGTCCATATGATGCTTTTGCCTGCATCAATAAGTTTGATTGCTTGATTAGATTTACAGTACAGCTTATATTATTTCTAGCCTTCAGCATTGCAGAATCTCAACAAAGCCAAGAAGAGATGAAAAAAATAGATAATTCACAAACGGCAATAGTTAAAACCAGATGCAATTCTAATGTCCGAAACTTGAACATTTTCACTCTGGATCATAAATCTCGAATCTGGAACTTACCGTACTTTCAACTTCATGCTGGTGGCTACTGGAATTGTGTACTCCAACAGCACATCCTTCCCATTCAACCTAGATGCAATCAAGGATTCTTCCTCAGGAGCACCCGATTTAGCCTGACTGGTGACGATTCGGCAAGGGACTAGGTTATATCGTCCTCCGGGTCTCCTAGATACTCTCTTGAGCTCCCCATCAATTGCTGTACCTAAGGGATTTTTAGAAGAGAATTTATTATCCACTCATTGCAAATTTCAGGTCAAACTAACTATCATCAATATATCATAAATTACCTTCACGTCAAACTCTTAATTGTCACCATTCAAGTTCAAAGTGATATACATGTGATTTATGTTGGAAAGCTATGGACCCTCCTTAGCCTAACGAAGTTAAAGATGACCATGTTGTTCACATGCCTCTAGTGTTATATCTGTACAGCATCATATTAGAAACAAGTCGCATCAATAACTCCGACCTTCAATCCTAATTGGCCAACAAAATTATGTGTTGTCCTTCAGCGTAGTAGTCAGGTCTACGAGTTATATCCATCATGCACGACGCCAAGATATCAAATACGGTGAAAAACTTTCGCAGCTGAAGGTCGCGTACCAGCAGAAACACAGTGTACACTGCTAGCATAGCTGCAACCTAGGACATCATGTATAGAGTCGATAGCTGTATTGATGGAAGGATGATCCACAGTAACTTGCTGTTCAGAGAATTGTTACAAAGCCTAGACGCTTTTTAACAGCTGCAGTCCGAATTGAATCTAAGAAAATGGCGAACATTGCCTTCTACAATTCAGCGATTAGATATTGAACAACCCCTTGACATCCTTTCCAGAGGTCAGTTTGAGAAATTTCCGGTTCATGTCTGAAAGAAGAATTTGATCAATAATCACAAATCAACCAAAAAATCCAAAAAATTATCCTTGCAGTAGGCATGAGTATCCTGCGTCACAAATGCTCAAACGAATCAACACCAACGGATAAATACGACGACTAAGTAGATGGAGTTTGTCTCTCCCTTCCCAAGTTGGGGAACTGCTTACGGGATGGAATTGCACGATGATACCCATGACAAACAACGGGTTTCTTGCAAGGAGCAACTTCAATCGGCTTGAAGTCTGAACCCTATATGTCAGAGGTATTGGTAGTAAGCAGAACAGGGCACATGCTCACTTATTTCTTACCTTGATCCCATACAATGCTTGTGGAAGAATGCTCATATATGACCTTGTAAAATCCTAAAAAGCCTGGTCAAGGCGATGATCAGTTGCAATGTTTCATTACAAGTCCTTTTTAAGCACCATGACACTGTCTCTGACTGACCATAGAGACCAAATACGTGGTATCCACATGCTCCAATGGTGACTTAGTGGTTTACTTAGTGCCCTCACACATTTCGAAAAGAAGAACCCGACCCTTGTCGAGCTTGTTGAAGCCAAAGCAAGAGGGTTTTTAAGACCATTTTAGAGTTCGAAGTTTGACTCTGCGCACTGCATAAGATCTGAAACTACATCGTTCTCATTGCCGCTATGTCTAGGATATAGATTCACTTCCTAATGATGGCCCTTCCAAGAGGTTTGTGCTCACAAAAGTAGCACACTTACACCCGAAAGATGACTTTTAACTGCATTCGAATGGCTTCTCGCGGCCACGAGGGACTCGGCAGAGGGTGTTACTTTGAAGCAAAGCTTGCACATGTTCATCACAACGAATTCAATCTGCTGCTTGATTCATACCATGTTCCTTCAGGTAAGCTCCAGACGTCACTTAAAACTGCACCCAGAATATGGTGACCATCGCGTCGTACTTCTGAACATCCCAAACCATTGGATTGCATCCAACACAAGATATCACCCTCCACGGCACGATTGGCCCAATTTTCGTGACTGTGGTTGTGGAATTCTTCTAATCTGCGACGTGGATCTGACGAAGTCTTCGATTAAAAATAAAAAACAAACAGAAAGGTTCCTTTGAAAAAGGTAACTCCCAGAACTGGCTCCGTTTCATAGGATAGAGTACATCATGACCCAATAGAAGTCCAGAGAGGGACTGCCAGAGTCACTGGAGCGGGTGCAGATGAGTCCCACACACCTTGATGAGAAGGCACAATAGCCCGGGAAAGAAGACGCCATCGTAATTTAGCTGCAGCCGAACGAGGTGGGCGTGGGGGCAAACCCACCTCTTTCTTCACCTCAGAGCCCATTTCCAGTACCTAGAAGTGCACGACAAATCACATCCAACCGTCCCCACTACCTCTACGGTATTTTTTCATTTCCTTTCCATAGCAGCGGCGGCAGCAGCAGCAGCAGATCTATCTCTCCACCTATATATCTACACCACTTCGTCAAAGTACAGAAGCAATCATATGATTCTCAACGACGACGTCAGCGATTGCATTGGCCTCGATCCTGTAATTCTATTTCTGCCTCCCTCCTTCGACCTCTCCCTTCCCTTTCCGACTGCCAAAACGTCCTTCTCTCCGCTTCCTCCTCCACTACCACCACCACCTGCTTCTCCTCCTCTTCCTCTTCCTCTGCTGCCACTATTTGCTCCCCTCCCTGCCGCTGCGATCGTCCGATTTCGTGGCCTCTTCCTCTCGGCACACCCCTCAATCCACTCCGCTCTGCTCTTCACTTCCACTCCCCGAGTCCGGAAAGCAACAACAGTGCCATTCCCACATTTGCATTCGCTGGTGCTGCTGCGCCCCATGCCCATGACCTCCGCTGCGCTGCTCCCCTTACGCTTCTACAGAGTGTATCGTGGGCCCCAGCATCTCGTCGTCGAGTCCCAGGTCCCGGCCCCACCCAGTTGACCTTTGACGCATGCACCTTGCTTGCTCGATAGCCCTCGATGCCCTACCATGATTTCGCCCCTGCTGTCAGTCAGTCGGTCGGTCACTCAGTCCGTCCTCGGCGGGCTTGCGCCTCGGGACAAGCTCTCTCTCTCTCTCTCTCTGGGCAGCCACCGTCATTCGCAGCGAGAGAGTCGAGATCCCGCAATTTCGTCTTCCCCGTGCTCCTGCCACTTCGCCCCAGGATCGCCAGGGCACGTCTTCCGTGAACCTCTTACACGAGACGATGATTCTGCTCGTTCCGATTTCAAGCTCGTCCCATCGCCCCATCCCTCCTTCGAATATCGCGTTCATCGCCATAGAAATGCTCGACGGCCGAGCTGAATTCCAGCTTCCAAATGTCCGACTCTGCATTCTCGTGTGAACGCTTTGTGGCTTACAAGGGGTTTTTTCCCCAACCCTTCGTTCCTTTCGCTAGCGGGGCTTCTGCAGTTGGCTGGCCACCGCTGGAACTGGGGCCCACCCTGGGCTTACGAGGTTGCATGCGGGGAATCTATCGAGAGAGCATCCCTCGAATCTACGGCGGGTACGTTGTTGTAATCTGGAGGGAGCGAGGGAGGGAGGGAGGGAGCTCCGAGTGGGGCCCTACAGGGTCGAAATTAGACGGAATGGATATCGGAGCCTTTGACACAATGATTGCTTACGTTATGTTTGGGTTGGATCGCGTGTGCTGCTCACGTGGATCTGCACTCTTTCGAGGAGAATGTTCATGAAACGAAGACGGATTCCACAGTCATGTGAAGGAGCGCCGTGGCCTTTCGTCGCCCTGCCCTTCTCTTCCAACAACAATCTAATGTGGAGAATATTTGACTGCTGCTCAGTAATTCGAAAATGTTGTGCATATTTCGAGAACCTGAACCGGTTCGATAAAGTACTTCCACGTCACCGTCATGCTTTACACCGGAAAGTCTACAGAATCTTCCTGAGAGCTCTCCAAGGACCCTATTTCCTACTCATCCCTTTGAATTCCGACCTAAGTTGACTATGGCCGTCAAAATGCCAAGCATCGCATCCTCTAATCTTACCGGCCTCATATTCACTTGCAGACACATCATATCCCGAACCCAGATAATCGATGAATTGACTCTACTTCTATGAAAGAATCTGAAGGATCATACAAACCTATCAGTTTTAGTCTGCAACATATATAAAATACAATTCTCACACTTCGTGTTGTTTTCATGTGTAAATAAAACAGACTTCATTATATTTATGTACGAAAATATCAAGCAAAACTAACTGCATGCAATATTGAGGTGTTCAGTTTTACACCTGTCAAGTGTTTAAACAATTTGCGATCTTGCACGTAAAGCCGACTTGTGAGTGTAGACCTAGCTTCGACAGATATCCATTGATTTTTTATGTAAAATTATTATGATTAAGTATTTTATTTCATTTTTAATTTATTTTATATCAATGCACAATGTTTTGTAAAATCGTAATTTAAAAATAATCCCAAACTTAATACAGTTCGTACATATTGAATCCACTACTCTATACCTTTTAAACTGAAGGAAGTGTAAAATCTGTAATCGTGGAGAGAACATGATTGAGTTACTTGTGGACGGGAAATGAAGAAAAGACGGATGACACGACACATGCAGGACAGATCTGTTCTGCATGATCTTTTACTCTTATGAGACCTACAATGACCTGAAAAGCTTTCGCCGTCAGTTACGAAGGCAGTCGAGCAACATATGTACGGAGAATTTGATGCATGTAAATCTGCAGATCCAGCAAACAAGAACCAACGTGAGGTAAAGCCAAAGTGTGGGAAGATTTCGTATGAAGATCGGTTATATTCTGTTCGAATTCTGCACTCAACGACCCACCATGGTGCGATCTCTTGTCACCTCATTCACGTGGTAGACTACGAATAAACGTGGTATAGTACAAACAAGTACACACGACATGATAAAAGTCCTTGATGACTACAAAGGAGAATCTGGAATCCTGTCAGGGTTACATACAGGTGATGGAGTTTCAGTTGACTACGCAAGCTGCAAAAGTATGCACCTCCTCACGGCAGTTTCGTGCATCGAGCTTCTCCTTGGCCGATACCGTACGACTACGTTCTATTATACAGCATCTGCTGTTGGCCTTCACTCGCAGTCTCGCACATTGAACGAGTTTGTCTCCTTGAGCGGAAATTCGCGGAGTTCATGTGCTGCGCATTACCAGCGTGTACATCAGTCTCCGCTGCCGCCTCGCGAAGACGTTTTCGTTTGCTTCTGTCACAGTGGTTTGACCTGCTGTGAATATATTCTGCTCAGGCTTCAAGAAATCAATCTTCCCTGCTGATCGTGTTCTCTGTCCATGTGCTCGAAAGAATTGTGTGGCAGTCTGTACAACCCCACCGTTGACTTGTTTGCATTGTGCTCCGAGCCTCGATCATTCTCGCTGATAATGGGCCATACTGTTTCCAAGCTCCATTATCAGATTCAGCGGCTATGCCCACTTCTTTGATGGAAAGTCTGTTCTCGACATCGATACGCCAGCAATCACAAAATCACTATTCCTTACATTTGACTGATGTTCGAAGCACTAAAGTTTGCATTGAACCACATCTCTGTGATCTTCGGGTACTGCACGTACTGCACGTACGTTGTAGTAATGAACTGTTTTCCTCCACTTTGACCAACGAGAGAGAACTGAATGGGAGATGTATGGCCTGGAAGTCTTCTAAATTATTGCGTGTTTATTGAGGTCGGTTTCGTCCATGCTCATTGAGCCTGTGACTAACATGTCTAACTTTGAATCAGATTATATGTAAGGTATAAATAACGACCACCCATCAACCTTCTGTGAGTTCAGGTACATTACTGTACTTGCTGTCATTTGATCATATGAGTGATCGAATTCCTCAACCTCACGAGTACTCCAAGTAAGGACCAGGGAAGGCTATACCGAAGGAAAGCAAAAGTTACGATGGGAAGAGTACTATACAGAAATGAATGGCGAATATTGAAGGTATTAAATACAGGCCATCAGAACTGAAAGTATCATGTGCAGTTAGCGACGATATATGTATACTAGATTCCCTTAGGGCCCATAGCACCATTACGATACCTGGTTCTCATAAATAGATCTCAAATTGGAGGATATAGGAGGGTAGCTTTCAAACGAAAAATTCTCTGTTTAAATTCTGTTTACAATGATATGCGTATTGTAACCATAACATAAAAGATTGAGTCAAAATTTACCTTAGGTGGGTATACAAAGTATCCAGTTTCATGCACTGGATAATGATGTAGAAAAGATTGACTTTACAGTGATAAGCATCAACCAAAAAAGTAAATATTTCTAAATTTTGTGTTGATTTTGTGGAGAAATATGTAGCTCATTTCAACCAAGCAACGTTAGAACTTATCTCAAAAAAGGTTCATGCTAAAGCTCTTATACATTGCTAGCTAAGTATTATAACACGATGAAGCTCACTAGAGTTAACCAAGATCTGATCTAACTAATAACAAATGATTCATTACAGTCACATTTTACTTGTTGCGAATGTTATATTTAAAATTGATCAAAATGTGCATAATTGAATCCAACTTTTCATCAGACTTTGAAGTAATTTTCTTAATTGAGAATAGACTACGTAGTATTGAAGATCCACAAGCTTAGAATCTTTGATCACTATAAATGAAAGATTGGCAATAATCTCTTAGGTGCATAAACTAGACTGTTTGAGACTCACGTTCTACACTGTTGGATTGGAAGTTGAAACGGGAATACTTGAGGGGATTTTAGCACTAAAAAGATTGTCTTCACACTCACATAATAACTCTTTTTGGAGTTTTTAAAGAAACTATTGAGAAGATTAGTAGTGGTGCATTGGCGGTAGAAGACATTCATAATTTCGATAAATCGACATTCATGAAAGTCTCATTTTGTCACTTGACAATCCCTTCTAAGAAAATTGCTAGAAGATATTGATGGATCACAACTAAGTGGTATAATGAAGTGTTCGATCAAATAGTTTTTTGTGTAACATGGACAATTTCTAGCCACCAAAGGTCTCAAATAATATCTAGTTACAACAATATATTTTTGAGTTGAAATAATCTATACATGATTCTTGGCATAGAGTTGATTCATGTGTGATGTAAATCAAACCTGAAAAAGCTCTATGTCATGAACACAATGAAATTAAGCACTTTTAAAGACATTTTGGATTTTCAAAGTTTTATAGAGACATCACCAACCTGTTGGATACAATAATTGGTGATGCAAGGTCATTTAATGTATCTGTGATTGATATTTAGATTGGGAAAAAAATAGAATATCTGAACCTATTTTGGAGTGATCTGTATGGTGAGGAGAGATAATTATCAATAAGTAATGACAAGCTATGATATGGATCAAAATAATATCAATACTATTGAGAAATTTATACCAAAATGTTAATCAACTAGTCTTATTTGGGATGATTGAATCACATATATCTTAATGATAATATGCAATCTTGAATAGATAGTTCAAACATAGAGCAGAATTTGTGATCTTGTAATATACAATATCACTAGCTTGTTTCACTATCCATTGTGTTTTGTCTTGTTCATCATTGAGTTTTATATGTAAGAGATGATAACGTTGATTATAAATTCATCAAAATATTACTTCATAGATAAATGTAAATAAATCTTCATATTTATATTTATATTTATTATAATAGATATGATAAGCATGTTAGAAAATTTGTACATACCAAGATAATAATCATGTTGATACTTTTGAGACATGTAGTAAACTATACTAACTATTGCATATTCTAGTTTGTCTTAGAATTATGAAAATGATAAGATTTTATTTCAAAAAATTTTAAATAACATTATACATAAATACAAATATGATGTATTTGAGAATTGTATCTTCAATAATCAATTTTTTACATTCATAACACATATCATGTGTTAGCGATAAATCATTTGGTAGAACCCGAAACTCCTAAACTCGTCAATGACTGTGAGTATATGCTGAAAGTGCAATTAGGATTTTGGCTTCCTAATAATTCACTTAACGCGGCAAATATTCTTGACGCGCCAAACACATTATCTTTTTGTTACTCGTGGACGTAGCAAGGTTGGGCAAATCATTGTCTACATTGCCAAGGTTCAACAGAAGAAGCAAGAGTTTGATAAGTCTATGTCGGCTCACAAGCCCCCAACCAACTAAAAAGTCAAGGAACTGACTTCTTCATCTTTCTTGATGAGTTCAAGAAGTCGTTTAAGGAAGATCATTCCAAAACCAAAGGTGTTGCCGTGGTTGGCAAAGCCAGAGGAGAGAAATGAAAAGACATGTTAGAATTTGAGAAGTCTCTCTATATTCTCAAGTCTTAACAGAAGAAGCAAGAGTATGATAAGTCTATTTTAGCTTACAAGACAAACTCACTCAATTGACTTTTTCATCTTTCTTGATGAGTTGAAAAAGTAGTTTAAGTAAGATAAACTCGAGGCCAAGGACGTCACCATGATTTACAAAGCCGGAGTAGAAAAATGAAAATACATGTATGAATTTAATCAGATTCTTTACATTGTCAAGACTCAAAAGAAGAAGCAAGATAAATCTATGTCAGCTTAGAACAAGCAAAAGCAGTACAATGAAGAGAACAATAAGCTAACATCTAAGGAATCTGATAAGTCAAAGCAATCCAATGACAATCATAAGCAGACGTTAGAGGAGTAGAATGACGATATGGAGGATTAGTCTTGCATTAATCAATATATGCAATGTTAGAATAGATAGAAAGATATGCCTAGTTAGAGAAGTTGACCATCAACTTGTTTTGTAAATGCATTTTAGATCGTACATTGGGCTAGAGCACTAAAGTCAGTAATTTGTAAGACACATGTACCATGCACAATATGTCATGCCTTTTGAAAAGAGACCTGAAAAATGTAACTCAGGGTCTTAACTTCTCTAAGCATGTTTAATCTCGAGGTATTTACTTGATGAGACTCCATCAAAACCTAAATTGCTCACTATGACAATTTAAGTTTTGTTTTACATGATGGGACCACATTGACAATACACGCCACACATGTTCCAATAGTTACATACTGTGCATGCATTGTAACTCTATCATAGCTTAAACATGTTTTGGTGGGCTCACAGTGTCTTCGGATCGAGACTCCAAAATCAAATTCTTGTAGAACCGTTTTGTTCGTTCACCATACTCTACTTTCGCTTCCATTGGATTCGATCACATGTCCGCTAAGACAAAATTGCCCATGGATGCAGTGGCTGCCAAAGCCACTATTGGCCGTTTGATGAACTTGAATACAACACGGCTGTGATGTCTCTACCTCGACTCAGCTCGATCCGGCTCCCTCGTTCATGATGCGAGCAAGACTAACATCTGCTTTAGCAACTAGATCTATGGGGAGAGATGTTTAGCCCAATCCCTTTCATTTCATATCAAGTGCAAATTTGCTTTCTATGAATGTCGCTGCTGACGAGTACGTGTGCGCTACCAACTTATTGAGACTTTTACGGTGTCAAGGTAGTCGATGTAGCTCAGTTCGCTACTGAAATAAAGAGGCAGCTGCACAAGCATCAAACTCTTTGATATTACCTCCCTAGATTATTACGTAGCTAAGGTACGCTTGTTGTTTTGCACCTACTTGGTTTGACTCACTGTCTTGAAATCAGACACCCGCGACTTAAACTTCCAGCCACAATGGCAATCAATTTCTCAATACAGGAACACGTTTTAGAACTTGGCGATGGTGTGCCGTAAGTGGGTTACTATCGGATCAAACCAAACTTGATGGATCCCATCAAGCAATTTAGGTTTGAATGGGGTCCCATCAAGTGAACACCTCGTTTAACCTGTTTGAGCTATCTTAATCATCTATGTCAAATTTAATGGTTGGTTATGTGCATGGAGAGAATCATTCAGTTGCAGAAAGTTTATTCTTAGGTACGTTGGGCAAATCACGTTATATATGTGTGTAAAATTATTTTTATTTTTATTGAAATTTGTTTTTATTATGGCGGCCCGAGATAGCTTGGCTCTTTTTTATCATGATTGAAAAGAATTTCTGTTATTATTTGTTTGCAGTCTTCTACTAGATTATTAATTATTTTTTTCCCCTAATGTTTTGTGTTTACTGTCAGATTTTCTACCTAACATCATGATGTTTACCATAAGTTTGATTATTATGTTTATATAGGCTTTTGGTTTATGTGATGTGGACTAGCTAATGTAGGGATCTGTCTGTTAGTTTATGGATATTGTTTAATAGTATGACGCATATCATAATCAAAACTTCCTCTTGATTAATTATGGGTTTGTTAATTATGAATTAATATATGTACAAATCAATTTGTCATTATATAGTATGAACTGCAAACATACACTTAGCAATGAAATATTTAGCACATGCCATCTTGATTTTAGACTCTGAATATAACTGTATCAAATTACTAAATGTGAATTTTATATGATATTAAACAAAATAAAAAATAAAATAAGATTATGATACACTTGTTATGCTAAATAACAAAGAACTTGGCATGATTTGATTAATACTTGTTGAATGACATCCATGATATATAGATATAGATATATATATATATATAGTCCAATTTACACTTAATTTTGCTCTAGATTTGCAATTAGAGTAAATGGACTTATAAAAATTTAATAGGTTACTATGATATATCTTTGTTGGTTTGCATAAATTATAGTGATATTTGATGTAACATTCATGTACGTTGTGATGCACATCTTTAATATATATGCCATCGTTCTAAAGGAGATAAGTATTACTTCTATTGACAATTGAGATCTAATGAATTTCAGTATAAAAATCCTGTACATTATCAAAGCTCAACATGTACATAAAACATAATATTTTTGTAATTTTACCGTAATATCATATACAAATTTTCTTACGGTTTCACAAAGGAACATATTATACATGTTCTATCAAATACATCTTAATTGAACACAACTTAAAATACGTCTAAAGCAATAATTTTTGGCTTATCACCCACATAATATCTGCCATCTTTAGAAGCACACACTTGGAACTAGATACTCTTTCTTCTTTCGTGTAACTCAACGAAGAAGTCGCTCCAGTAGGAGAAAAGGGGGAACAGTATAATAACAATTCTGAGCGAGAAGATCTCATCGAGTGGTACGGCCAAGGATGAAAAGGTGAACATGGGCTTGACCGCCATGCCCCCTAGAATGGCAAATATGGCATCCAATATATATATATATATATATATATGATATAAAATTCGGATTTATTTTATATCCGAACTGTTTAAGCCATACGGTACGTATGCTCTCGGGGAGCGGCAAAGTACAGTACGCAGGATGAGAGCGCGGGCTAGCGGTAGGCAAGCGTTGAGGGAGGGGCCGCGGCCCTTGCTTTCCAAAAGGGGCCATGCGCGAGCCAAAAGGGGAAAACCAACCGAAACTACGAAGGGGCGAGAATAAACTGCCAAAGCGAACACCGAAAAGTGAATCGATTCTCCGCACCTGCCTGTCCCAAGATCCCAACGCGCAGTCAGCACACGATCGGTGCCACCGTGGATGGCATCGATCGAAAGGCCCTGGCTCCGATCGAGTGAGACTCGGAGCTTCGGGTGCTCCTTCCTTCGTGCCTGCCTGCCTTCTTCCCTTTCGTTCCTTCCTTCGTCGATCGATCTGTGCGTCGAGTCGCCGCTTTCTCGTCCTCTCTCTCCACTGCAAGTCCGAAGAGTGTGGAGCGGTCTCCGAAGTCCGGAGATTCGACCCACTTGGGCTTGCAGAGGAGAGGAAGGTGAGCGGTGCCCGGTTTCCGCATTTCGCATTGCGGCAGCTTCTGGCGTCTGAAACAGGTGAGAGCTGAATTCGGTGCAAAGGAGCTGGAGAGTATTTGAGTGAGTGATGGATGGGATTTCAGTTGTTCGGTTGAGCAGAATTGGGGAGCTGTATGTATGTTTTGGTGTGTGCGTTTGATGACATGGTGGATGGATTGTAGGTCCTCGTATAAGAAGAGGAGGCCGAGGTGTGGGCGACTGTGGGGGGTTTTGTAATTGGAGGGGGAGGTCGAGGAAGTAGACGGGAATGGCATCGATTTCTCAGGCTTTTCCTCCTGTGAGCTCTGGGCCTTTCGTCAAGGAGGCTTGCAGTAGCTGCTGCAAAGGTTTCGATGCCCAGGAGGCTTCTGTAAGCCGGACTTTGAAGACCTTTTCCCTCTACAAAACTCCCAATTCCAGGTTCAGTTCCTCCTGTAGAAGTTCCTTTGGCGCTTCTCTGTCTTCGTTTCAAGTCTTGGTTCCCGCACGCTCTGCCCCGACTGTCAAGCATTATGAAGAAAATCAAAATGGAGTAAAGCCTTTTCTACTGAAGGCGAGGTCGTCCAAAAGTTCTGAAAACTCTCCTTTCACTGAAAAATATTCGCCGAAAAAAAGCCGGGGTGGGGGTTTGTTAGAGGACATCACCCGAGACTTTAGGAATAATGCAGGATTCAAATTTCCAGCTGAGAGGAATTCTAAACCAGAGTTAGATGAGAGTCAGAGTAAATCTCTCCGTGACCAATTTGTTTGCCCACCAGTAGGAGAAGCTGCGAGTGAATCTGACGCTTCAAACAGTGCACAGGATGGAGACAGCAATGAATTGTCCCACGAAATATCATCTCAGCTTCCTGAGCTTAGAGAAGTTTTGGTCATGCTTCGAGATAAATGGAATGAAGAAGCAGCCGCTGGAAAGAGACAAAGGGGTCCAGGCAACGTGTTTTTGGTAGGAACTGGCCCAGGTGATCCAGAGCTTCTCACAGTCAAAGCTCTCAGATTAATGCAGAGCGCTGACCTGGTTTTGTATGATCGATTGGTGTCGACTGATATACTAGACCTCGTGCATTCCGGTGCTCGTCTGCTTTACGTCGGAAAGACTTCTGGGTTCCACAGCCGTACTCAGGTATAACAAACCTTCTTTTAATCTTCAATTATACATTCAGTCACTTTGTTGCACTGACTTTGGAGTTGCAGACGAATCGAAGATAGACGGGCTTTTTAGAATTCAGTTGTTTTGAAATTTCGATCATCCTGTTCAATTTTGATTCCGTAAAAAAATCACTGGATTGAGTTGAGTTGTTGTTTTGCATAATCTAGGGTTCTACTCAGTATTTTGATTCTTTTTCGAAGTTTCAAAATTCGAAGATATACACTTCACTGTTAAGGCGGAAATAATTATTGAGTATGAATTGTTTGCTGTCGTGGACGTTCAGGAAGAAATACACGAGCTGCTCCTGAACTTTGCAGAAGCAGGGGCTACTGTTGTAAGGCTGAAAGGAGGTGATCCTTTGGTGAGTAACTCTTTTGAAATTTTAGGCGTGGTTAGTGTAGCATAAGAAACGGTATAATTTTCTGTTCGTCGAATTGAAATGACGTTTTGTTACCTGCTAGGTTCGTTTCCTTGAGGTATATGTGAGACCTTCTCTACTAACAAATAAGTAAGATTCGGACAGTCGACAAAGTGTTTTGAAACTTATCGAAGCAACTGCATCATGAATAGGTCGGAAAGTTATCAAACTAGTAGAATGTTGATGAGGTGATCAGACTTGGATTGTCGGGACCCTGATGAAGTATACAAATGACAGGTTTTTGGAAGGGGTGGTGAAGAGATGGATTTTCTTCAAGATCAGGGTATACGTGTTCAAGTTGTTCCTGGTACGTGCATTTTTTTCCTTTTTTACCAGTATTAACGTTTTCAATTTCAAAGTCTTGCTTTGAAAAAGAGGACCATTAATTATGTACATGCTTGCAAGGCCAGATATCATTGTGTTTCTTTTGTCACGCCCTGGTCTTATGTAGGACGATTTGTGCATTGTGACAGATTGTTGATATTGTGTTTTATCTCCCAGGTATCACTGCAGCTTCAGGTATTGCAGCTGAGCTCGGGATCCCACTTACTCACCGAGGCGTCGCTAACAGGTTGTTAGTAAATCCCTTCCTGTATCATTATCAAGTCAATCTGTTTCGATTGAACGTGGCACTCTGCATTGTAACTTACGCCGGCTGACTTTGATTGTTTAATGTCGGTGTTCAGTGTCAGGTACCTTACTGGACACTCTAGAAAGGGAGGTGATGATCCTCTGTACGTAGCAGATCAAGCTGCAGATCCAGACTCTACTTTAGTCATCTACATGGGGTTAGCTACATTGCCAGGACTTGCTGCCAAGTTGCTGGCCAATGGTCTTACTTCGGACACTCCTGCTGCTGCTATCGAACGTGGTACCACAGCTCAACAACGGACAGTAAGTTCACAATCACATTATTTCTTTAAGCTTCCAGCTGCTAAAATAATAGTTGATCATAAGTTAATATTCTTGTTGACTATGTATGTTAGAATATGCCTCAAGTCTACACAATATTATTGTATCTGATCTGTTTTTGTCCCGAAAGTTTTGAAAGTTTGAGGCGTTCTGATATAGCTAACCATGGTCTACGTCATCTGGCTAGGTTTTTTATAGAATGCTTTACAACTTTTCTAGCTACTGATCTTTGTAGTATGCGTACCTTCTGTTACGTGTGCAACAGGTCTTCGCAACTTTGGGTAACTTGTCTACAGAGGTGAAGAAGGCTGAGCTTGTCTCCCCCACTCTTATATTTATAGGAAAGGTGGTCTCCTTATCTCCTTTGTGGCCTCTGAAAGAAGATCGCACAGGCACGTCCACTTGCGCTTCAACTAAGAGTATTAGGATGGCAGCCGAACCCCGGGATAGAAGACAAAGAGGCCCAGACCCATCCCTTCCGAGTCAACAGTAGGTTTTCCTAGCCCATATTTGAAGCCAGCATCTCATTCAATTGTAACAATGTCAATTTTGACAATTTCATCGGAGAGAGGGGAAATCACAGTGGAGTAATGTTTAAGGTTTAGGGAATGTTCAAGGAATGTTCCGGGATAGGGATAATCACAGCCGTGAGCGTGGCATCGAACTGTACATTATTGTTGTATCAAGAGTTGGAGAATATGAATACGCCTTGGGATAATGACTCAGGGTAACTAAACAAGAATACATGTGGAAAGCCCAGAAGCTGGCAAGTGAGGAATGTTTTGTTCTTGAAACCAAAAGTTGATTCTGGGTGATCCTTAGAGGGAATATATACTTGAAAAAAATCGCTAGTTTTATTTCGTTGTGATTCTTTTGTACATTTCCTTTTGCTTTGAAAGGAGGTTGTAGAGGTTGTTGTATGGAAGATTGTGCTGGAGAAAATATGAAAGAGAACAGATGTTGTCATTTGTCTATTTTGGTTAATTTTCAACTCGAAATACGGCCGATCAGATGTTGTGAGTTCGAGCTCTTGATGTATTCTACTTACTTTTATTCGAGGAGGAGTGCTGAGAATAAACCACGTATAAACCAAGAATACACCTGTCTTGGATGTTGCGGGTATTCTTGCCTACTTGTACACATATGCTCTGCGTTATGAGAGAAGGCGACGTTGGAATAAATTATGCATTGATGAAGTCACTTTTTCTTTTCTAGCCAGTTCATTGCCCTGAGTAGTATATGCCTTTGATCGTTCAGGATCATAGACCCCGAGTCCCAGTAAGCGTTGATAGGTTTAACTAACTGGGAAAGAGAACGTGATATCAGTGACAAGCATCTTCACCTTAGAAAGCTTCGGTTGAAGTTTCCAGGTTTCAACCAAGACACCTGCAGTAGTTCATGTACATTCACTACATCTATGAAGTTCGTCGTCTTCATCATATCTTATAAGGGGAAGGTAAGACAGGCATTTTTACTTGAGAAAGCTTTCGATGTTGTGTCCGGTGATGCTAGCTGAGATTTCCCACTAGTTTTTTGTTCCTTAATTCTCTCAAAGATGCTGGATACAACCATTATAAAATAGCTGCTGCACCTTAGTTCCCTTCAAGACTTGAGTATTTAATTACATGTGTCACTCAGTTTTAGAGCGTTGCAGGTCGACCTCCTCCTTTGGATCTTTGGAAGTCAACATCTAGGAATGTGCTGCAGGGTATGTTCTGACACGCAAGCGTACTCGGTTGCACTTTACTGGGTGCCACGAATTTGTATCAGCGTTCACGATACTTCTTGTCATCTGAACAGTTGACCTCTGCAAGTTCGAGTTGATTTTATTTTTAGATGCAAGATTATGAAATTACTTTTTCTAGTTAAGCTTCATCCGTCTGGACCATTTTGACTCATATCTGAAGTGAATTCTAGATTGTACCAGTGTGGTGTAAGTCGTGAACTTTATCATGTACCAGAGAAGGACGATTCATACTTATTCTGGTGGTATATATTCACTCATTATGGCTTTAGCATGTTCGGATTGAAGGTTGATAATCTGCTCATTTCGAACAGACAGTAGAGGAACTGAAAGAACCTTTTATCGAAAATGTGGTGACCTAAATTTTTCTACTCAAAACTTCGCGTTTGAAATAATAGAAGTAACTGTACATAAATCCAAGTCTATCCTCACATCATAGTTTGCTTGAAAAGTTAGAGCCAGAGAGCTTTTTTGGCCAAATCTGGTTACGTTAAATAATACTTGAAAGCTCAACTGTTCATCGTAGCCCCATGAATCGTATTGTTGAAGAAGGCACTGAGAGTTAGAATCAAAGACTGTCCTTCAGAAAAACATTTTGCTGGTGGTATTAAATTCGGAATTTCATGAAGTTTTAGTTACATTCTCTGTAGCGATAAGAAGGATATGGGCTCGAAGACAGAAAAAAAGCGAGTCAACTGACTTGTTGATGTAAAATGTAGAGCTAAAAATTTTAGAAGGTTGATACGAACAGAGTCAAGTTACAAACAGTCATTTGACAGTGTACTAACGAAATTACGATTTGCCTAATGCATTACTGATCCTGCAGTTGGAATGGAAATAACCAGAGCAAATTGAATATAAGAATGATGTAAGCGAAGCAATGGGCGTAGCCTTTGTGTGGCATTAAAATTCCAGAGCTTATTCATGCCCAACCTTGGTATACAATAGACGAGAACAAACTAATTCAATACTCGAGTGTAAATGACACTCTAAGGTCGTGAAGCCACAACATTTGAAAGCTCCTTAAAATATTTCATATCACGAAATTGATTCGCGAAGGTCACCTGCGCGTAACGAAAAAGCGCGCACACCGGCTAAAGGTACAGATATAGGTAGCCTCTCATACGAGCTATAGATGTTCTGACCTCCGAAACTCTACAGCCTGTGGACATTGTAGAAAATAAATAATGCTGATCCGATGTTGACCGACACCATTACCACACCCCATACAAACCACATATTATCGAAATATTCTATCGCTTTCCAGTTGCTGGTAAGATTCGTAAACCACAAAAGGTCAGGAGAATTGAAGGGAAATACACATTTAAAGGGTTCATGATCAAATATATGTTTGTCGTACGAAAAAGAGAGTCAACTCCCCATTCGACCAAGTCAACTTCTCAGAGTCTGTACCGGGAGTTGACTGATGCAATAGGGAAAGAGAAGTATGATACGAGTATTCGTATGATCAAAGTTGTGAAGGAAAGAATGAGGTTTTAAAATATGAGAAGTAGTAACGAAGTAAAAATGTGGGTGAGTGGATGAGGTATTTGAGGATAGATGGTTGTGATTGTTGGTTATGGAAGTAAAATAATAGCTCACTTGTGTGTTTGGTTGGAGATTAAAGAAACATTCCATGTAATCATGCTGAAGAGGCACTCATTATTCATAAGTACTCAGAGTGAAAGTTAAATGTGTGTAGCAATGATTTTTTTTTTTAATCTAATATTAAACTTCTGAAAATAAGTACAAATAATAATTTCCAACCATAAGAGCAAAATGTCCAATATGAAATTGAATGTGTGAATATGAGTGGCTACTGGTGAGATGGGCTAGTTGGAGACAATGTTCCAGTTCAATGGAGTTAACAAAGTTTTTGTTTTCCACACGCCAAATATCATATAGAATTAGCAACCACATGAGTGCAATTTGTGAAAATCGTCAAATTTGAAACTTGGTCTTAGTATCAAAAATATGTACAGAAAGATATCAAGTAGCAATGATGAAGAAGAGTTAAAAACTACGCCATGCATTCGAGATGTGATCAGATTAGTTGCAAAAATTCCACAGCAAAGACAAGTGCGACCTTCAGTGCCAATGCTTAAAGCAACCGTTGAAGATGTGATCATGTTGAAGAGCGTTGGAGTAGCAGTTTTGTCATAAAGAAAGAAACTATTATTTTGATAAGTCCAAAGAGTAAGGTCAACCTATAGTGTATATATGACATATTTCATCACATCATGATCATATTACATATGAGATTCGTTTCTTATCAAAGGAAACGGTGTCATCATTTGAACATGAAATATAGGGGTAAATATAACATACGATCTATAATTGTCACGATTCATGTAGAGGCTAAACTAGTACCATAGTTGTGGGCATGCAAAATCATGTACGTCAGTTAAAATGGTGATGAGATTTAAGTTCTAGTGATTTTATCAATTTAGATCAGTGAAATCATTTAGAAAAAATTGAGCACATAGATGACTATTGAATGAAACTTAGAATTGGTAACCTCTAAAGTGATTTTTTTTTTCCTCTAATTTTATGCTATGGTTATGAGTGGCTTTGCCTTTAGATGATTCAAGATATAAAAAACAAATATGAGACAATTTTGCTGTTCTGTAAAAAACTATAAATTTAAATGTTTTGTGTGATTCAAATAAAAAATTATTTTTTGATACTCATTTTTTGAATAAATAAATCTTTTGATAGATATACTTTTGGAAAATAAATGTTTGATTTCTAACTCAAATTAATCTAGTGGTTTTCTTCAAAAAATTTAAGAATCAAACATGTAAATATCTTATCGATAAATTTTGAATGACACAACACGGTATAAGAACATTCCACAGATTAAAAATACAATAAGCAACTTATTCTGTAAATGAAATGTTTAGATTACATGTATACATTGCTATACATAGAACACTAGCTTCAACTATCTATAGTAGAGGAGTTAAGTAAGATGATGTTTTCTATGATATTTTTTGGAGAATGTTAAATCGACCACATCTAATATCACAGATTTGTGCGTGCCATATTTATTGAGTAGCTCGATGAAAAGGAGTCGGTAGCGCTTGCAACCAGTCTTGTTTGCGCCAGGAGCAAGTAAGGATGCCAAGTAAACTGTCGGATGCGAGGAGTGTGACCAGGTCTTTTGACAAGCCCTCAAAAGTGTAGTAAGGGTTATTTTTGTAATATTTGATGTTCCTGGTAGCAGTGAGGGTGGAGAGGCCTCTAGAATGAGATTCTGGGAGAGTTAGTCAATCCTTGGGCTTGTGTGCAGAAAAAATTTGTTTTGACAGGTCATGTGAGCACGAGACTTGTATCTGGTCTCAGTGTGTGTGTTTTAACATTCCACTAACTTTTATGTAGGATGTTTGAACTAGATTGAAAGAAAATTTTAAGGCAATATAGTAAATTTATTATTGTGATGTTATTAGATCCTAGTATTGTCTTGTCTCTCTATTTCATCATATAGAACATGATGGGTGATCATTTTGTTTGAAGGTACTGTAATAATTATAGTTTAAAGATGTAACTCTTGATTTCATACTTGATGAGACTTTCAATCCTTTTGTATTTGTCTTTTCCACTTGAGTAGCTTCTTATTCTGTATTGTCTAGCGTAAATGATTTGATATATTTTATCTTTTACATAATTACCATGTGATTTAATTAGGTATCTTAACCTTAGGTTCATACTTATGATGCTTGACGAGATTAGTCCATCATATTTTCATATACATTTGGAACCTGATCAAAATTATAAGTAATACTATGGTCTTAGCCATATTCTTTTATTTTATTTAGAAATTTACTTTTTATGTACTCACATGTCACAATAAGTTATTTGTGAGAGAAAAGAAAGAATTTCATCTTCACAACAAAGATAGATATCAACCATAGATTGTAGATTGCAACCAATCAACCTGATCACAAACTAGCACACAAAGGAAGCACAGGTGGAATGTCACCATGACTTGACTTGAAATGGTAATCAAGTCAATATTCACAGTCATGTTGATGTTACGTGAAACATAGGATCAGGTTAATCATTTAGTCTCCCATTTGTCCACGATCCGAAATATCTTGCTACTCTTGGATCTAGGACCGTTCAAGTCTTGAGCCAGGACAGATCTATTGTCCAATTACACTAACTGATTTACGACACTAAGTTGCTTCTCTGTTTTCCCAACCTGGTC